TTAGAAATAAAACCCTTAGCAACATTTTTTGGAAACATGTTTCTGAAGTGCATTTCTCTTTAGTAGAGCAGCGGTAGTGCTGGTGGGAGTACTAGGGCTGAAGCCAGGGAGCTCTGGGTTCTGACACTGAGTTCCACCAGCTTCTCCTTAACCTTCGGTGAGACATCCTGATCCTCCCCCTCTCCACCCTCAGGCCAGTTTCTCCCATTTCCAAACAGATGGACTCTAGCACTGCACACCTAAACTGTACAACAGCCTCCCCCAACTTTATGCTCTCCAGTCTATTCTCAAGCTTCCGGAGGAATTTTTTTCCCTAGCTTTACTGAGGTTATAATTTACATACCATAAAATTCACCCGTTTTAAATGTACAACTTAGTGATTTGGAGGGTTGTTTCTAAAGTATAGATCTGATCATGTTACTACTTCAAACCTTCCATGATGCTTCATTGCCTTTAAGATCAAGATTATACATAATCTCATCCTAGGATGCTTTCCTGTCTAACCCACATGCCACGTAAAGGAACCCTTCCCTGATTTTTCTCTACCGGTTCTTTCTGCCCCTGATGAATGGAGACTAAAGCTCAGATATGTGGTCCTTTGCAATCCCCGAGTTCGTTTTTTAAAAACAGCTTTATTGAGATATAATTCACAAACAATTCAGTGGCTTTAGTATATTCAGAGTAGTGGAACCATCACTGCAAAAAATTTTAGAACATTTTCATCACCCCAAAAAGAAACTCCGCACCCCTTAGGTGTCACCCCCTCCCCCCGATTTGCCTATTCTGGACATTTTATATAAATAGAATCGTACAATATGTGATACTTTGTGTCTGGCTTTTTTCACTTAGCTTAATGGTTTCAAGCTCATTAACGGTCCCATAGTAGTTGGACAGATTTTCTTCCTTCTGGGCCCCAAAGTGTTTAAGATGACAGTGCTGGACTAGATCAGGGACTGTCATGGGAGACCGTTCACATGTTTTTGTGGGCGTTTGCATGCATGTGTTTATCTGGTAAGAAGATTAACCAGCTTGCATCAGATTCATAAAGGGATCCTTGACCCTCTAAAGGTTAAGAACCATTCTTTGTGATTCTGAGGGTTGTGTGTTAAGATGGTCTGCCCATGATACGAGGATACAGAGGAAGAAGCAAGAGCATGGAAGCCCTGAGAAGCCAGCCAGCTTCCCATCATGCCTTGGTCCTTGAGGGCTTTCTCTCCTCTCAAGGGGCTGCATGGAGGTGCTAAATCCCAGGTCCTGATCCGTAGCCCAGGAACTCACACTGCCAGTCTATTTTGTCCTTCCTCATCTGAACGTACAGTGGGTCCATTTTGCTCCATTTCTCCTCTTTCCCAAGGTTTCAGTTGATAGGAACCTAACAATGAATGAGAAAGCCCACTCTTCTGGCAGCTGTGATTAGTGGGAGGGTCTGGCTCAGCCCTGTCTCATCCAGTCTTCCAGTTGGGGCCCTGGGTTGTACAAGTAAGGAGAGGCAGGGGCCAGTGAACAACCCCGTCCTGGGCCCAGTTTGACCCTATGTCCCAGTCTGGGGGGAGCAGGCTGGCCTTTTGTCTGCCCACCACCTGGACTTGATCATGAAAAGAGGGCTGGAGATGACGGGAGACGTATATAAGAGCTGGGACGAGTGCAGGAAGGGGCTCAATCTCAGCACTTCACTACCACCCCTAATGCACTCACATTCCAAGAAAGGGAAGGGAGCAGCTCCTTGTGAGACCTGCCCTGGGTGCCAGGCTCTGTGGGAGATATTTCACAAAGACCCTGACACAGGAAACAGACCCCTAAAAGAACAGGCCTGGCCCAGGCATATTAGCCTGGCAGAGCTGGGATTTTCACCAAGTCTCTGTGAACCTAAGGCCTGTCCTGTGTGACAGAAGACGTCCAAAGTAATCACCCTGCAACCAGGAAATAGTTCATAGTGGAGGTCTCAGTGTTGATCTCTGCTGTTGCTAGGTTGGGAGCTCAAAAGTGCTATAGCCAGATTGGCCTTAATAGGTAGAAGTCCATATTGCTGAGATTGTGCATAACTTACATGCCTATCTGCATTAGTTATGCATTGCTGTGTAACAAATTACCTCAAAAATTCAGTGGCTTAAAAGAGCAACATTTACCTCACAGCTGTGGGTTAGGAATCTGGGCACAATTTAGCAGAGTTTCTATTTCAGGGTCTCTCAAAGCTGCAATCAAGGTGTCAGCTGGGGTTGCAGTCATCTCAAGGGTCAACTGAGGAAAGATCTGCTTCCAAGCTCACTCATGTGGCTGTTGGCAGGATTCAGTTCCTTGTGGGTTGTTGGCCTAAGGACTTCAGATTCTTGCTGGCTGTTGGCCGAGGGTCACTCTCAGGGTCCTTGCCATGTGGACCTTTTCATAGGACAGCTCACAACATGGCAGCTTGCTTCATCAGAGCAATCAAGTGAGATGAACCAGACAGAATGAGAGGGAGAGTGCTCACATGTGAGACAGAATCCAGTCTATGGCCTAATCACAGATGTGACATCCCATCACTTTGGCAATATTCTATTTATTAGCAACGTCTCTAGGTCCAGACCAAACTCAAAAGAAGGGGATTACACAAGGGTGTGAATACCAGGAGGCTGGGATCATCGGGGGCCATCTTGGAGACTGACTACTACAGTTTGTCCTCTGGTCCCCAATGATTCATGACCCTTCCACATGCAAAATATATTCACCCTTTCCCAAGGTCCCTAAAAGTCTCATCCCATTACGACATCGCCTCGAAATCCAGAATATCATCTAAATCAGGTCCAGGTGTGAGCAAGGCTCCTTGGGTGTATTCCTTAAGTATGGCCCTTTAACTACTATTTTTCTCCATCTGTAGATCTGTGAAACTTAAGAGGCAAGTTATCTGTCCCCAACACACCCAATATACAATGGTGGAACAGGCATTGGATAAGTGCTACAGACATTCCAGATCAAAAAGGGGAGAAATGGGAGACACAAAGGAGTCACTGATCTATAACAATTATGAAATCCAGCTGGGCAAATGGAAGTTCCTTGATTAGATTTCAAGGCCTGGGAATAATTCTCCATGGCTCTTGGCTCTGACCTCTGGGCTCTTGTTTCTACCCTCTGTGCCTTCCTTTTTCATGAAAGGTAGCACATGTTTGCAGCTGAGCAGTTTTCCCAGTCTGCTTCCTGTCAGAATTTTGGGGGTCCAATGGGTTCTTTTCATTTTGTACTGTCTCTGTAATCAGCTGCCATCAAGAAATAGTTCCATAGAGCGGCTTGGTGTTTCTTTTATGTTGGCAGGTTGGGCACTCAGCAATGGCTATAGCCACACTACCCTTGGTGGAAGTCCATATTGCGGAGCCCATGCATAATCTCCATGCCTGCCACCATGGCCGTTTTGGCAAGGAAAAGGGTGACAGGATAGAGGTTGGCTTACTTCCACAAAACAGGGCATCTTGTCTACCTGATTGAGATCCTCCTCCACAGTGGATTCTCTCTCTGGTGCTCATCTATGCGGGACATATATGTTCTCACACTCCACCAATACCAAGAAGGACACCCACATACCTTTTCCTCAGACTTCTTTATCAGCAATATTTCAATCCTGTTCTTTTCAAGTCCTTGACCATCTAGCCTAATCATTAGCAGCTACTCATGAATCAGTGGAGATCTACCTATACCTCCGACCATCTCTGCAACCAGGTAATTTTCCTACTGGGATAATTTCCCTTCTCACTATCCTTCAGGATTAACCTCGTAGTAGGGCTGTAACACTGCAAGTAGCCACTTCCAGTAGGTGCCAGCATACCGTGCAGAACTATCTGTAAACCAAGCTTGAATTTCCCTTAGTCACCTGGTCAAGGGAATTCCTCATGAGGCCTCAGGTGAGAAGGGGATGGTGGTGCAACAGGTAGGAGCATGATCCACCTGCTGGCAGCTTAATTGTGTCTTCTAGACCTGCTCATATAAACCTATTCTATTTGGCAGTGGAGTGCAGCTGCACATGGATAACTTGATGACTTGATGGGACAGTTAACACACAGCTCACCATGGGCAGTTCAGGTTGCACAGGTCACTTGGTATCCTATGCTCAGGTGTTCGTTCACAAACTAAATCCACTTTTCCATTTTATTCTTGTCTGTTTCTGGGACTCCTATTATGATGTTGTCAAATTCCGATTTTATCCTCCACTCCTTTAGTCTTTAAAAAAATATTTTGTATCTCTTTATTCTTTCCTGTTGATTTCCAAGAGGTCCTCAGTTTGTTTCATGCACTAGTTTGTTCTTCAGCTAGCTGTAGCCTTCCTGCTCTTTATGCCATCTATACTGTGTATTCCAATAATGTATCCAGAAACTGGAGAAATCACCACAGGATTTCTCCTAAGCCCAATATAAGGACCCAGGCAGAAACTTCATGTGTTATCTGATCCCACTCTGGACCACAATGACAGTCTGGGTCACCATGGCCAATAACATTAACATGAACTCAAGACCAATATCCACTCTATTTCAAAAGGTCTGGATTGTGGCACAATTACCCTGGCTGCAGGTCCCTGTGGGGGAAGTAGTGAGGGAGATGTCACCAAACACACTTGTGAAAAGTGCAGCAAGGTCCTTCTTCGAATGGACCCTCCTCCATTCAAGGGGCTCTACATTTTTGGGACTAGATCAGGCCTCCATTTTCCAGACTAGAAAGTTTTTTTGTTTATATACCAAGTAGGACTTTATTAGGCTGTCCACCTATTTTGGTCCTAAGGAAACCATGCTTAATTAGCCACTATTATAGATCCCCACAGGTCAAACCATTCTGATTACAGCTATGGCTCTGCTGTGCATTATAGGAACGAGACCCAACTTGTCTTTGGAGGAGATCCTATCATTTCCATTGAAATTAGGGGGTCCATTCATGATCTCTCACCACGAATCCAGCCTACAGAAATACACTACTGCATTCAGATCCCTATACCGGCCAGCTGGCCCCCCAAAACAAAAACAAAAGCAAAGAAACCACTGCAATGCTTTTTAAAGAATGCTGGTGCTCACTCATGTATTAGTTAAGATAAAGCTAGCTTCTGGAACAGAAAAAAAATTCTGTGATTTAAGACAATACAAGTTTACTTCTTTCTCCTGAAGTATTCCAAAATAGGTGTTAATAGTTGGATTTCCCTCTTCTAAGTGATGATTCAGGGGCCTCAGCACCTTCTGTCTAGAGAGTCTGCCATCTTCAAAACATGGTCACCACTGTGCTATTGTCATCTCCATCCCAGCAAGCTGAAAGAGGAAAAGACCATGTGGGAGGTTTATATGAGTTAAGCCTGGATGTAGCGTACATCACTTCTGCTCACATTCCATTAGCTAGAACTCAGACAGTGGGCATACTCAATTGTAAAGAACACTGAAAAATGTAGTCTGAAATTTGTCCCCAGGAGGAAGAGGAAACAGGTTTAAGACCACCTAGTCTCTGCCACTGTTCATAATGTATTTCTCAAAGCCCTTGTGAAAGGAATGTCCACATGGTTAAAGGGTGAGTTGAATGGGTTAAATCTGATTAATTGATTCCAAAATTCTTATTGCCCTAAACATTTGGATTCCTCTGTCTACATTGTACCACGGAATTTCTGGCACCTTAACCTCATTTAACACAGGCTACTGTTGAGTCCAAGTTTCAGTCAATCAATATAACAGCTCTTAGAAATACTCCTAGCTGCTCCAGCTAACAAAGTACATCCAGGATTGCTGATGAGTGTACCCATATTGAAAAGTTTGGCCCTACCAAAACCAGATAAAGACATCACAAGAAAATTACAGATAAATATCCCTTATGAATATAGATGCAAAATCCTTAACAAAATATTAGCAAACCAAATCCAACAGCATATTAAAAGTATTATACACCATGATCAAGTGGGATTTATCCTAAGAATACAAGAGCATGGCAACAAAAGAAAATCTATCAAAGTGATACATCATATTAATAGAACAAAGGAAAAAAACCACGTGACCATCTCAATTGATGCAGAAAAGGCATTTCAGATGCAGAAAAGACACAGAGCTAATAAACAAATTCAGCAAAGTTGCAGGGTACAAGATCAACACAAAAACTAGTTATGTTTTTATACACTAGCAATGAACAACCCAAAAATGAAATTAAGAAAGCAGTTCCATTTATAATAGCATCTAAAATAATAAAATACCTAGGAAAGAACTTAACCAAGGAGGAGAAAGACTTGTACATTGAAAACTATAAAACATTGCTGAAAGATATTAAATAAGATCCAAAGAAATGGAAAGACATCCTGTGTTCATGAATTGGAAGACTTAATATTGTCAAGATGTTAATATTAGCCAAAGCAACCTACAGATTCAATCCAGTTCCTATGAAAAAAATCTTTTAAATTATAAATTTGTTAATATTATTTTTTACATTCTAAGAAGTTGCAGAGCAGTTGGCGGGGAGGGGGAGAGGGGAAGGGGAAGGAAATACGGTGGGAGAAGGAGGAAGGAGGGGGGCATGGTTGAGGCCCGTGGCACCCCCCTCATTCCTGCAGAGGACACCAGGGGGCTTCCAGTGGTGGCTCAGTCATTGCTGGGCTGGATGCAGATGTCAGAGGGGTGTAACTGAAGTCCTCAGCCCGCTACCACCCCAACTCAGGAGCCTGGGGCACTTCCTGTGGCAGCTCAGTGGTCATCACTGGACTGGTTGCGGGTGTCGAGGGCATGGCTGAGGCCCCCGGCCCTCCCCTCTCCCTGACTTGGTAGCCCAGGGGCTTCCAGTCCTTCTAGATTTTATAGGTGTTCTTTGGTATTGTGAGACCTTTACTAGTTAATATCAAACTTTGTCTCTGGTCTATGGGTATTCTGTTTTTTCTTTCAGTTCTGTGTTGCATTATTTGCTGTTCCCACCACTTAAACTCTGCACTGGAACTAATTTGTTGTCCTTTGCTTACTTCTAAAATGGGGGAACTTCCTGTGGGGACCAGCACTTGAGCCCTGTGGTTGAGCTAAATTGCTGCTTTTCTGCTGACCCCCTGGGGAAGGCTTTTTGTGAAGCTCAGGTTTTAATGATTGACTTCGTATGTACTTCTGGGTCTCATGAGGTCCAGTACACCTGAGGTGTGGAAACTCTAGTCTGGACCTCATTCTTTTCAGAAAACTGCTCCCCCTGCAGTTCTATATTCCTGAGCAGTCTACACAGAGTGGGCCTGTGCTGATTGGGGGGCAGATATGCTGTCCTTGCTGTGCCCCAGTGTTTCCCTGGTGGACCCATCTCCCTAACTGCCTGCACTCCAAACACTTCCCATGGGATGGGCCATGCATCGGTCCCTTGCGATGACTCACTGGCCTCTGAGTGGCTCCTTTTTCAGTTGTGGCTCCTCACTCCTATGTGGGTCCATGGGAACCCTGTTTAGTGGTCTTGCTGGCCTGGGGACACTGGATTTCCACATGCAAATTAATGAAGTTGGATCCCTACCTCATACCGTATACCATGAACTCAAAATTGATCAATTGCCTAGATTTAAGAGCTAAAAACATAAAATTCCTTAGAAGAAAACATAGGGGTTAATTTTCATGACCTTGGATTTGGCAATGGATTCTTAGCTATGACACCACTATCAACATCCCCCACCAGAGTGGTATATTTGTTACAATCAATAAACCTACACTGACACATCATCAACCAAATTCATAGTTTACATCAGGATTCACTCTTGGTGTCACATTTTCTATGGGTTTTGACAAATGTATAATGACATGTATCTACCATTGTAGTATCATACAGAGTAGTTTCATTGCCCTAAAAATCCTCTGTGTGTTCCACCTATTAATCCCTCCCTACCCACTAACTCCTGGCAACCACTGATCTTTTTACAATCTCAGTAGTTTAACCTTTTCCAGAATGTCATTATTTAGGAATCATACAGATATGTAGCCTTTTCAGATTGGTTTCTTTCACTTAGTAATACGCATTTACAGTTCCTCCATGTCTTTTCATGGCTTGGTAGATCATTTCCTTTAGCACAATAATATTTCTGTGGATGTACCACAGTTTATCCATTAACCTACTGAAAGACATCTTGGTTACTTCCAATTTTGGCAATTATGAATAAAACTGCTATAAACATCAATGTGCAGATTTTTATGTAAACATAAATTTTCAACTCATTTGGGTAAATACCAAGGAGTGCGATTGCTGAATATATGGTAAGAGTATGTTTAGTTTTGTAAGAAACTGTCTGTCTTCTAAAGTGGCTGTACTGTTTTGTGTTCCTACCAGCAATGGATGAGAGTTCCTGTTGCTCCACATACTCATCAGCATTTGGTGTTGTAAGTGTTCTGGATTTTGGCTATTCTAATAGGTATGAGGTGGTATCTCATTGTTGTTTTAATTTTATTTCCCTAATGACTTATGATGTGGAGCATCTTTTTCACATGCTCGTTTGCCATCTGTATATCTTCTTTGGTGAGGTGTCTGTTTAGGTCTTTTGCCCATTTTTTAATTGGGTTTTTTGTTTTCTTATTGTTGAGTTTTAAGAGTTATTGTATACTTTGGATAGCAGTCCTTTATCAGATGTCTTTTAAAAATATTTTCTCCCATTCTGTAGCTTGTTTTCTCATTCTCTTGACAGTGTCTTTCATAGAGCAGAAATTTTTAATCTTAATAAAGTCTAGCTTATCAATTATTTCTTTCATGAACCATATATTTGGTGTTGTATCTAAACAGTCATCCCCAAACCCAACATCACTTACATTTTCTCCTTAGTTATCTCCTAGCAGCTTAAAAAGTTGTATGCTTTATATTTAGGCCCATGATCCATTTTGAGTTAATTCTTGTGAAGGGTGTAAGGAAGATTTCTTTTTTTAGTGCAGTAAAAGAAGCTCCCCAGTGTCTGACTGTGCCTTGAACTAAAAATTTTAAACCATAATCTTGCCTTTAAAAATGTTTTTCTTAATCATGTCAGCAATATATATCTACTGTTCATAAACAGTCAAAAGATATGGCCTATTATTAGACTAAAGCAAGGTACAGCTTCCCAAATGCAGCATTACCTAGAGACAGGGAGTGAAAAAAGCCAGTCATATATACACTTTAAAACACTATGTACACACATTTATCCTCATGTCCAGTATAGGCAAATGTTCTCCATACTTTGCTTCAAAAGCAGAAGACACTGAGTTGCAGAGGTTATAAGATACAGAACATGTTGAACATACTTCAAGCCTAAAACATGCACTGAAATAGCAAGAATAAAGTTTCTTTCTTCAAACATTTTGATCTGAGCTCAAGCAGAGAGTACATTAGAACAGATTGGAAAGAAAGTTTGCAGGTAGGCCTGTTTCATTCTCCTTTTAAAACATTTAACAATTTACTTATTAAACATCAAGTTGAGCCATTTAAACCAAATGATATAAAGACTGATTATTACTTTAAACAGGAATCTGTTGCTCCTTAGTGTTTATGGGTAAAAGTTCCACAGATGTAAGGACATTATTTACTGGAAAGATTATATGTATTACAATTAGAGAGCACTGATATAAAATTATTGCCTGTTTTCTCTTATTTGCCTTTTAAAACTGTAAAACATAACCACATACAGGAAAAGGTATGTGTAAACACATTTTAAAAAGCAAACATCTGTGTATCCACAACCCAGGTCAAGAAATAGAAAGTTACCAAAGTCAAAGAAACTATCCACATGTCCTTTCCTTTTCACAACTCCCTCCCCCCAGCCCAGAAATAATGAGTACCTGATGTATTATCTTTTTAAAACTTTTTATGATGGGGCCGGCCCGGTGGCACACTGGATAGTGCACCGCTTGGGAAGCACGGCGGCGCTCCCGCCGAGGGTTCGGATCCCACATACAGACCGGTTCCCGCTCACT